AGGCCAGACCTTCGTGAAAGATGGCACGATCCACGCTCCTGTGGGTGTAGGCGGTGCCCGAGGCCAGCCCAGGCAGAGGCGCCTCATGCTGGCACCAAGGCCTCCACCGGGTTTCCCACGTCTGCTCGGGGCTTCTGGCCTTTTGGCCCTTTCCTGTAAGCTGCGTATTGGCCATGTTGGTCCATTTTTCTCTTGGATTGTCTTTTTCTACTGATTTGTATATGCTCTTTGTAAACTAGTCCTTGGTCTTCTGTGTCATTTCCAAGTTTATGCTGACTCTCCTGGGGAAATACGGCTTGAGCAAAGTGGATCATTTCTCCTGCGTTTCACAAGGCACAGGTGCACATGCCGCCATATCCTGCAGGGCAGTGCCAACAAACACCAGGGGGACTGTCCCCAGTATCCCTGACTTGGGGACACTCCAGACAATGTCTTACCGCCTTTCCGAGGACTTCCACTGTCTCTTCTGAGTCAGGAAAGGTGAAGCACTGCCTCTCCCCCGCCTCCCCCCAGGGAAGGCCCAGGCAAGGCTGGTCTCCAGAGAAAGGGCTCAGATATCTGGACCCTGGTCATTTCCAGGTTACAGCTTCTGTTGATTATTCAAAGGCAAAATTGAACTTCACACAAATCATGTCTGTTTTGCTGATAAGCTCAGAGAAGGAGAGCCCAGACCCATCCTGCAGCCCAGCAGGCAGGAGCCAGGCTCAGAAGCAGCCTGAAGGTCAGCTGGACCACGGAAGCAGTGAGCAGAGCAGGGGGTAGGTGAGGCTTCAGGCCCGGCACTTGTGCACAGACCTGCTGACACGTGTCCACTCTACCTTGTGGAATGGCCAAGTGACCGGATCACCTAGAAGTCTGTGTGTCCACACTGGCCCACCCCGCTGGGGCAGAGCCTGGGTTTCCTGTTTATCTTCTGCTCTGTCCCCTGAATCTACCCTAATGGTCCTGGGGTTTGGAGCCCTGAGGCTGTCCTCCACGTTTCTCCTGTGAGGTCCTGGGCCTGCCTCCCCTCCCAGAATGTGCCTTTGCAAAGGGGAGCTTCTAGCAGAGAGCAGGATCTTGTGTGGCCACCAGGGTTCCAAGGCCCCATCCCAGAAAGACTTGAGAGTGACCACAGGGCCCCTGTGGGAGGCTTCCCAAGTTCCTCCTCCTGGCGCCCTTTTCCATTTTGGGGTCTCTGGTCTGAAATCACTTGTGGACTTCTGCTCTGAACTGTGTGGACTCTGCTCTGTGCCAGCTGGGGGGCCTCTGGCTGAGCTTCCATCTCACGGGTCCGGGGCTGCCCGCCGAGAGGAGCTCGAGCCAAGACACCTTCAAGCTGGGCCGCTTGTGGT